CATTGTTATGAGCTCTGGGTATTCAGCTCAGCTCATGTAGGACACTGTTGTGGGATCCAGGCCCTCAGCTGGATTCCTTGGTCTTAGTGTGTGGACAGATTTCCCACACTCTTTTGTATACTGTTCTTTGGGTGACTTATAAATAATCATATAAAGTATGTGTCCTGTATTATGTTGTTCCCCTTGCAAAATAAGCTCCAAACTGATACAACTGGCTTGTTTTATTGCTGGGTTTTCTTCTCTGTTGGAAGAGTACCTGCCAAGATGTTCTCCCGTTCTACAGCCCATTGTCTCTTCAGTCTAATAATCATTCTAATTTTATGCAGAGCCTTATTTTGAAAAAGACACATTTGTTAATTCTTGCTGTATTTTCAGAGAAATTGGAGTTTTATGCCAGAGATCTTTACCTAATTATATGACTCCAAGTGGTTACCCTGCATTTTTTTCTAGTAGTTTCAAGCTTAAGTCTAAAATTTAGTTGTATCTTCAATTAGTTTTTGTACTGGGTGAAGACTGATCCAGTTTTAATCTTTTGAAGTGGATATACAGTACTCCCAGCATTATTTATTAAAGCGGCTATATCTTTTTCCAGTGTTTGTGTTTGGCCTATTTTTCAAGAATTAGTTTTTTTATGGTTTAGATCAAGTCACACCAAAGCCTCATGCACTCAAAGGCAAAATTTTTGGAATGTGAATCAGGTTTCTATTTCCCTATCCCCCCTTTTGGAATTTGCATATTTATCCTACACATTGTTCATCAAAATTATTTAAAATATTTAACTTTTCCTTTTGATTTTTCCAGGGGATCAAAATTAAGAGGTTGCCTTGAGTCTCAGAGGAGATTTTTGGACTTTGACATTTTAGCAATGCTGGAATTGTTAAGGCTTTGGTGACTTTCAGAGATGGAGTAAATTATACTTTCTATAAACATATGTGGATGCGTGTTTGGAAGACCAGGGTGAAATGTTTCCCCAAAGCCTCACACACTATGTGGTTGGGTCATACTGGTGCTATAGACATCAGTGGATCAATCCACCAATGAGTTTATAGATAAATGTGCTGTTAGGAGGTTGGGCCTTGTCAAAAGTGAAAAGTCACTGGAGATGTAACCTGGAAGGGTCTATCTCTCCTACCTCCTCCCTTCACTCTGCTTTCTGGCCACCATAGGTTTCTTATCCTAAGCCCTTTCATTATGCCTTCCTGTCTTGGAACTAGCTGATGATGGACTCAATATCCCAGACAAAACAAAGCTCTCCTACTTTAACATGTAAGTGTTGGGTATTGTGTCCCGGTGAAGACAAGCTGAAAGGCAATCACTATAGTCCTTTGGATTTATTTCTGTCATATCTATGCTATCCCATTGGTCTCACCTTTTTGTCAGTACCATACTGTTTTCTGTTCGTTTGTTTTATAATGGTTGTTTAGTCTATACAAGCATTGTAATGCTTTCAGCGTTGGTGATTTTCCTTAGCATTGCTCCTGCTATTTTGTTTTCATGAGTTTTAAAATTTATTTTTAAAAGGAGTTGGCATTTTGATGAAGATTGTATTGAATTTGTATTTTTTTGTAATATTCTCATTTTAAAAATATTATATCTGGTTATTCATGAACACGTAAAATCTTTCCATCTTCTAGTATCTTCAATTTTTTTTCTGTAGTCTTGTGACATTTTTACTGCAGAACTTGTTTCAACTTGAGATTCCGCCTACTAAAAAGACAAGCATGTGATCTGCTGTGGCTTTTCCAGACTCCAGCCCTGTTCACTTAAGAGATTACACAGTGATCTAGACAAGCATTTCACTGTTCTATGAAGATATCCAGCTCTCTTCCAAGGACCAAAGATTCAAAAGCACTAAGATAAAAAAAAAACGAGGAACTGGGTATTTCGAAAGTGTGCTATAAGGCTTCACGCAAATTTCAGCTCTGTAACCACCAATAACGTATCTATCACAAAGGGGGCAGAACACCTCCCCCAACCCCCGCAGAAGGAGACAGGGCACTTACATCCAGCTGCGGCGTTGCGAAGCTTCACATTTCTGAGGCAGTAGGATATCTGTCTCAATCAAACAACTCAGAGGATCCCATGAAGACACAAAGGAAAATGCAGAGGCACAGAGGAGCTCTGACTCCCAGAAGGCAGGCATCCCACCCAGGGAGATCAGGTTCCTGCAGTTCTCCAATCCCTGTACAAAGTCCTCTGAGCACAGTCGAGGCCTTTCCACCCACCTAGAATTCTATGGCCACATCCCTAAAAGCGAAGAGACCCTGAAACAAAAGCTGTATTTCACCCATCACACACAGGAGAATTCTTCTGTGCAAGTTATGACACTTGAAGAAACTGGGTCGGAATAAAAAGTAAACAAGAACTGGGTCTGTTTAGGGATTAAACGCAGAGCCCATGCACTGAGCTAATTCTAAATCCCTTTTGTCCATATGTGCAATTCCACCGCCCCAGGGTCGCCCCTCCGGTCCCCCGCACTCCCCGTCCACCCCTCCTTCCCCTCCTCCTCCTCCTCTCCGCGGGCTCCGCCTCCGCGCCCCGCGCTGCCCCGTCGGAATGAAGACTCCTCCCCGGTGCGCAAGTCCCCTCCGCCCGGCCGCAGGGGCGACTCCAGCCGGCCCCGCCGCCCCGCCCGCACGGGGGCCAGGACGCCCCCTCCCCTTCCAGTCCGCAGCTCGCCGGG